GGGGTTCAAACCAGAAACCTTCTTGCCACCCAAACCTGACCGAACTCATAAAAATGGCAATTATATGAGCTATATGCACTAAAGAGATACGATTGTTACATGTTTTTGTTTCGTACAGGAATGACACCGTAGAGGTCACGAGCTGCAGCGATGAAGATTTGTGTTGTGTGTCCTTGCATGTCGGAATGGTCAAGGTTAGACCAAGATTTGCATAAATACTGAAAATGTAAATATGCTCTGTCAAACTAAAAAGAAATTGACTTATTTGCAATCTTTAACTAAGCAATAATTTTCCCTGATCATGTGTGTGACTTTCCTAAACATAACCATGAAAACACAATGATTTTTAGAGCTGATTTTGTATAATAGACTGATGGGATCTGGGCAGCAAAAACATGCACTTCAAACCATATTTGTTGTTCTACATTACCAGGCTTTGGGTTGTCCTGATGTCATTCCTCATCATGTTTAGGCATGCTCTGATTAGTGTAAAAAATTGATATCTGATAACTGTAAATTGTACTTTCTTAATTTACAACGTGCTTGTTTAGCTGAACATTGTGGTTTGTGTTGTGGTGTACTCATTAGTTTGAGGGTTTGTGCTCCTCTTGATGCCAGCTGTGTTCCTTTCTTTGAACTCCAGCTTCTCTCCTGGTTGTCAAAAGAAGTGATTCACAGCTTCACTGCTTTTTCTGTCTAGATTAGGGCTGTCACAATATCAGATTTTCACTTCATAATTGTTGTGCTAATGTCTGCCTAAAACCTGCAAAAATAGCTCTAATACTCCCAGTCAAATTCATCTTAAACTTCATTTATTTTGTTTTGTCATTTTTTGGCAAATGAATTATACCAAAAATGCAACATTAAACCCAAATCTTCCAAGTTCATAACTATATAAATGCATAAAAACAAAATAATTGTAAAATAATTTATCGTATGATCTGTTTGTCATTTTTAACTGTGCCAATATTTTTACTACATTTTTTAACATAATGTTTTTTTTAATTTTCAAAATTCTAATTCAGTATAATATAATCATTTTTTTTTTACATATTATTAAAGTATTATATTTAAAGGGCTTTTTTGTTGTGGTTGTGGTTTTTTTTTGTTTGCTTTGCTGGAAAACTGAAACTTGGTCCTAGTTTATGACAAAAATGACATAATATAAGACTAGCGACTGAAGTTCTCAGAGGCACCAAGAATAAGTTACAGTGAGCATTATAACAAAAATATAAACATAAATTCTTATGTTATTTGAAAAGACAAACATTTGGGGGAATAAAAGACATTTAATACAAAGCCATCATTTTTGCAGTGAAATCGAACATTTCTTTTTGGACTTTCAATATCATCTGCCTCCAGAAAAGCAGCACTTATGGTCACTGACAGAGCATAAGGATACATGTATGTGCTGATGTCTCTGCTTCAGGATGAGTGGCAGAGTGCCCTTTGATATGTAATATTTTAAAATGATGACATGTAATATTTTAAAATGAGAACACATGGCAAGCATTAACTCAGTAAATAGTCCCAGCTAATACAACTGCACAAACAGGATTGAGTGCCTCGAGGACTTTACCGTGTGGCTAAAAAAACACTATACAAAAAGCTGAAAAACAATATTAAGTCAGTGGGGAGAAATTGACTCAAAATGACAGAGGGACAGTGTGACTCTGCACTCTGTTGTAGGACCTAATAAAGTGAGATTAAGTGAAGTATAATAAATTAAATTTAAATATGTAGTTAAAACCATAGCTTGGATAAAAGCAGTTTATTGCACAGGTGAAGGACTCCATCTATGCTGGCACTACAGCAGAGTTTGGCTGCAAGTAAAATAACACTTCATTATTCCTGCAAGAATCCTCGGTTCAGTCTTTTACCTGCTGAGAGGTATTTGGAGTTTTAAAGGAAAGGTTAAGTGTCAATTTAATTTAATGTAAATTGGAATTAAATAATCTTACCCAGTTTGAATGTCGATATATAGTTCAATTACATTTTATTTTTACCAGCTGACTCTAACAGTTGTCTCCAGTCTCCAGACTGTATGATGGATATCCTACAATATTAGAGAGAAAATCCCAACAACCAGACTAGCTTGATGTGAAAGTGTGGTGCGAGAATAATTCCTCTTTTAGAGCAAACGGCCTCTCACAGAACCAGGAGAGGCATCTGCTACGACTGGTTAGGCATGGAGAGGAAAATAGAAGACAGAACAGCAAACAGAACAAAACACAAATTAGAGAAAGTATGCGAATGTTAATGACAAATAATTAGGTGTCATCTGTAAAAATCCTCAAAACAATATCTGCGTTTAAATAAAGCAACTCGTGCAACATCAGCTGTACTTCAGTCCTCAGTGAATTAAACACCTTTGTTTTAATAGTAATTTTCCTTTAAAATGGTGTCAGAAAGATGATTGATTGATCGGTGGTTGATCGATCAATCAATCAAGAGCGATCGATTGATCGCTGAGTCTGCAATCAATCGTGTTCATGAAAAAACACCACAGACACTCACCTCTGGATACAGACAGCATACAGCGTGACGGTCAGGCAGCAGGTCTGCAGGGCTCTGATGAAAACTGAATTCATAAGAAAGAAATAATGTACTTAAGGACTGGTTCATCTGCTCTAACTTAATGCGTCATCGTTGCTGTGCTAGCATTTATATTACAACAGAACCTGCATGCAGCAGAAGTCTTTACCCCTAGTTTGCCATGGAGACTACTTTTTACAATGCATTTTAAACAACAGCTTATAACAATATTTATCTTTTACTGTAAACAGCTAAAGAGGTGGGTAACACCCTTTCATTAGGAACACTTAATAAAGCAAATTTGAAATTTCCCATACAAATGCGCAAACCCTTTAATAAAGGGTACAACACAAAACACACAAAAAGTGTGTGAATTTTTCTTTTTAATAAATATGACCTAACAGCAATCACAAGCAGTCTTTTCTGTGTGGATTTCAAAGTTTTAATAGCTTTTAGAACGCCATTGCTGTACACAAACACAAACTTTCAGAAATATAGAAGCTAAACTACTCGTGAATACACTTTTATTCATGTAAGATTTAACAGTTGATATAAAAGTGTCAGATTGTTTTTTCCAATACAAATGAGCAACCAGCTAAAGGAAAAACCAGCGCAGTATCTTTCTACTCCTCAGCACAGATAGTCCACATCTGATGAAATTTGCTCTGAAGCGACAGGCAACATTCTTTCAGAAGATGGAAACAGAACTCCGAGCTCACCGCCACATGTGTGAGAGCTGCTCTGGTTACTGTAAAGGTGAGAACATGTGACCAACTGTTTCATTTTCATCAAGGAAAGAGTCGTGAATGATACCTACACCTAAAGACGATCGCTCAGAATCATAGACTCAAACCAAACCAGCACACCAGAACCAGCAGAACCTGCCAGACTTCATCTGTGAGCATACTGGAGTGTCCGGGTCACTTAATTTTGTTGCCTCCAGCTGAAAAATGTGAAAAGAGCAATAGCCAGCGCAACACAGTTGTTATCATTATTTTTATTATTATTATCATTATTGTTATTATTATTATTATTATTGTTGTTGTTTTATTATTATTATCAACAACAACAACAACAATAATAATAATAATAATAATAATAATAATAATAATAATAATAATAATAACATATTTGTATAGCCTTTCTGAAGAACCCCGAGGACGATTTACACAAGAGTAGGAAAAAAAAGAAAAGAAAAAGAAAGAAGGCTAAAGGTTGCGGGTTTTGTTGAAGAAGTGCGTTTTGAGAAGTCCATTTTGATATGGAATTATGACTTTAAAGACAGTGGATGTCCCACACGTGTTTGAAAAGAGAAAGGTGAACCCGATTTTAGAGCTTGATTGTTTTTCCACTTGTATCGAAAAATGAAGTTGCTATTGCGAAAGCGTGGAGGCCCGGACTCCATTCGTTTATCTGGCCACTTTTATTTTCTATGTAGATATATTTAATGAATCATTGTATTTAGCTGTGTGTTTACTGCATCAGTTTATTGATGCAATCACATTGCCCTCTATTTCATAATCACATTGACCTTTATCTCGTATGTGGCATTTCTGACCTTGATGCTGTGTTTATCAGCAGCTGCATTTGCTCATGTTTGCTCATTCTAAACGACATGAGGAGCTCAATGTGAGCTGAGCCCTTTAACTGGGGGAAATAATCGAGAGGAGGCCATAAAGAGCGCAAATGTTAAGGCACTGTAAAAAATAAATAAATAAAATAATAATAATAATTTTTTCTACAATGTATATGGAGAGAGAGAGAGAGAGAGAGAGAGAGAGAGAGAGAGAGAGAGAGAGAGAGAGAGAGAGAGACTTCAACACTCTGCAGATAGCGTTCATACCTTCTCTTTGCTCGGTGTCTCTTTGCTCCTCTGTTTCAGCTTACACTGACACTTTGATCCAGATCTGCTGAGCGGGCCAAACGTTTCTGGACTGTTGTTGTTGTTGGTTTGTCAATGATAATAAACGTACCAAGTTTTAAAAAAATGAAGGAAATAGCTGCAGTTGTTTGTTGGCGGTTGTTTTCTCCACGGTTTCCATTTAAAATGATCGACCTGACCTCTCTAACCTGTCCTGTTCTGGAGTTGTTTTTTTTTAACTCATTGCCCAAAAGATGTTTTAAACAAACCCCAAATCGTCAGCGGGACATAAAAGAGCCACAGTTCAGATGTGATAACAATAAAATCATCTTTCATTTCATTTACTTTCACATAAAGGCTTTTATATGTGGAGGCCTGCAGCAGCTTTTCTCCCTGACGTTTTGGAAGCTAAAAACAAAAAACCCCAGAACGTTCGTTTTCTTCGCGCTATATTTCACAGCCTGTTTACAAGCTCTTTTCCGTCTGTGGTTCTGCCGCAGAGCGCAGAATGAAAGCGCACACTGTTTAAATGAGCGCACATTTATCTGTCCTTTATACGTTTCTCTTATTTTTGCCAAAGTCAAAAGAACAGTAATAATAATGATAGAATTACAACATTTAATATCCATGAAAATATCACATATAGAGAACATCACGATATATTCACACGTCAGTCAGTTCAGAGGGCGTCTCATCCCTGTGTGTGGAACGTTACAAAAGCAGCTTAAATTAAATTTAAATAATGAACACAGTCAATAATAAAATGTAGATATATATACAACTGTGCAACATGGCAACACCACACCACCACAATGTCTCGGGGTCCACATCGATTTCCACGGGACAAGCCGATGAGGCCGTGTTAGGTCCGCTCTGTTATCAGCTGTCCGAGTCCACCTCGCTCTTACTCTCTTCGGGTTTCTCCGCGGACGTTTTAGTGGATTTGTTCCATTTCTGAGAGTTCTCTGATTCTTCCGATGAAGACCTTTTCTGCCTCCTCCACTTCGCACGTCTGTTTTTGAACCACACCTGCGTGACAGAGAGAGAGCGCACTTTGAACGTGTCTGTGTGGCGACTGATGCTGAGCACGGCCACAGCTCAGCCCCTTATTCTTAATCTATTGTTTTCAATGGATTATTATAACTATCACGATGGTGATGATGATGATGATGATGATGATGATGATTATTGTTTTGTTGTTGTTGTTGTTATTGTTTTGTTTTTGCTTTGAAGCAGTGTTACTTGCTGCACATTGTAGATAAGCATCGACTTTGTTTTCAGAATCAGGGCAGAAGATAAACTGTTGCAAACAGAAACATTTAATAAAATTGAATTAAATTACATTTCTGTTCAATATTATACAACCTCTAACATAGTGATTTTTGTGAATTTTGTTGAAGCAACAAAAAAGATAATAATAATAATAATAATAATAATAATAATAATAATAATAATAATAATAATAATAATAATAAAGGTGAGCAAACTTTAATTATTATTATTATTATTATTCAATAATAATAATAACATTGTGAGCGCGTGTCAGCCGGGTTTTAGAACTCACTGCACGTGAGTGTGTTTATGAGTGGAGTGAAAGCTTTGAAAGAAGATAGCTTTTAAAAATAAAAGCGCTGACCTCGACCTTCTCCTCGCGGAGGTGGACCTTGCGGGCAAGTTGTTCGCGAGTGCCGACGTCCGGATACTTAGTTTCTTGGAAGAGGCCCTCCAGAGCCTCGAGCTGCTCGTCCGTGAAGATGGTGCGGTGCCTTCGCTTCCTGCGGCAGTGCAGCTGGTTGAGGAGCTGCAGCTCGGTCCGAGACAGGCTGCTCATGTTCATGTAGGACATCATCTGGTGGGGCACCGGAGAGATCAGCACCGAGCCCGGGCTGTCATAGCCTGCATGACGGACAGACAGCACACATCATGGCTGGGTGGAAACCCTATATATACACTCAATTATTTGGCGTATTAAAATCACTCCGTTTTTTACTACAAAACAAAACAAAACAAAACAAAACAAAACAAATAAAATAAAATAAAATACATTAAATGAACTGTGGAAGAGGCTGTTTTATGCATGACAGAATGTGTGGAAACACCAAAACAGATCCCAGCGATGGAAAAGCTCAACTCCAGTCTTTCCTGTATTCAAAGTTAAGCTCGCGCACGTGCCTGAGCGCTTCTGCTTCCTGTGTATGAATCCAGAACAGCTCGGTGATATTCGTCCTGATTGCGAAACAGCAGCGACAGTAATGTCTCACAAAAAGACTTCACACGTGAACATTTGCGAGTTTTTACAAAGCTTTGAAATGCAGCATGGAGTCTGAAATAATTTTACAAACGCGTATTTCAGGCGTGTTTACACTGAATCTTAATTGTAAGATAGTGCTCGCAAGCGATGAAATATTACGCATGATTGTAATTAATTTGTATTAATAACGAATAATTACTTCACGGTGGAATTACGCGCGTTGACCTAGAGGCTGATGGGCCCTCTGGCCTGGAAGCTACTTCGCTCCACAGATGCTTTCTCTGAGAAATACAGAGTGTGAGGGGAAAAAAAAGTTCCCGTGGCGGATCCTTCACTGCGTAGGTCTTAGCTGAGTCTGTGACACTCTGTGACTGGCCGTGTTACCTGTGGGGATGCAGGGGCACTGCTGCGGGCTGAGGCCGGGCACGGAGCCGCAGCACGGGGGCCCTGCCGCGGCGCCCTGGACGTGCAGCTGGCTGTAGTAGTAGCCATTATATCCGATCCTGCTCCCGCTCACGGGCTGCACCGGGGGGGCCACGGGCCCGCACGTGGCTGAATACAGTCCGTTGTAGTCGGTGTAGAGAGAGTCCGTCAGGCCGGCGGACAGCACCACCGGGCCGCTCCGGTGCAGCAGCAGCGGCTCCTTACAGCTCGGCCGCGCGGACAGGATGCTGTCGATGCTGAACATCCCGGCGGGCATCACACCGGTGTGCGGCGGGAACTCTCCGAAAAGTGGGAACCAGCTGTGAGCGTCCTGGACTGACGGGATTCCGTGCTCAGGGAGAACGTAAGCTACAACTGCGTCATCGCGGCTCCGGGACTCGTGTGTGCTCTCTCTCTCTGCTGGAGAATACGGACAGGAGGTTTGGGGGAACCGCCTGAGTCCGGGGCTGTTCTTATACACTGCTGACGTCACAGCAACAAGTCTCCTTGCGCTCGTCTTGCTGCGTGAACGCGCCACGGAGCTGTGTATTGAATTAATTCAATTAAGATAATCCAGAGTGTTTGCAGACTTTTAGAAACGTGTCACTGGGCCGCGGGGGCTCTTCCTACAGAGTAATCCGATTATCGCGGTGTCAGCGAGACTTTGTGCAGGACATCACAGCAGCGTTTACAGGCTGCTTCAACGTGCCCCTCAGCACAGATCAAAGTCCTCATAAAACCAGTGCACCGGTCTCCGTGAGCTGTGCCCATCACTCTGGACACTCTGACATCATTACTGACTCAAAGCAAGAAAGTCGCTAAAGCTCGAGCAGTGAGCAGACATGACGGTTATTTTGTTGCTCATTAATATCTATCACTAATGGCCCATTTAGGACTACTTAACAACAAAGAAACCATTAGATTAACAATCTGTGCGCATGAGTGCGGTGAAAGTGTGACCGGGGCTTTACCTGTTACCTCCTCTGCCTTCCTGCATGACTAAATGAAAATGTCACCCTGAAACACGCTGTATTAAAGCTGGGGGTCATCTCATTATCCACCCTCGCTGTTCCGTGGGGAGGAAGTCAGCGCTTTCCTCCATAGTTGTCTTTCTTTCCCCCTGACCGGGCGAAGGTAACGGCCCATTATCGCTTCCATTCAGTGAAGGAAAGGGGAACTTATTAAGTATTTACATGGCTAATCAACATAGACTTAGCGGTCGGGAAACGGGCGCTGGCTGCTGCAGTGGAACGTGGATTCCAGCTCAGACCTTAATGGGACGATGATTGCATTTAACACTCTGCAGGATGTTCGCACATGCTGCTGTCAGGCGGCCAGATAAGCCTGAGCTGTGAAGATACGGAGGTGATTAGCACTGTGTGGCCGCACAGTTTACACACAAGCTCTGTTCTAAGTTTACACTCCTCTTACCTGCAGACCATCCATCAAATTGTTTTTACAGCATTTTAAAAAATGTGGATGAAATACCCCTGTACATGTCAGCCTGTTTCGGAAAACGAAGACACTGCACCTTTTTTTTAAAGAAACGTTTATTTTTAACATTTTTGCAATTGTTTGAAATATCGGGGGAAATAAAAAAATCTTTCTTTCTTTTTTCTTTTCTTTTCTTAATTTTAGAGCAATTGAATTTAAGACGATTGATTTATTATCTCTAACCTTCTACTACGAAATTTCCCTGAAAGAGATATTCCGTTGAAACCTCTGTACAGTAACACTGGGATAAGCACGATGGCTTTTCTGTAAGGTAAAAACAAGTCGCGTGAAGAGTAGAAAAAGGCAAATAAAATGCGTTGGTCCTTCAGCGTCATTTTAGACACTGTTTGTGATCACAGATGCATTTTCCTTTCTTTTGTCACGTTGTGTTTGGGCGCTTTTCCGGGGCCGTGTGTGTCTCTCTTCTTTGCTTTGACAGTTTTGCAAAAATCGTGAAAGCTAAGCGCGCTGCTGCCAGCCCTCAGTAGGCTTGTGCCGGCGAGGCTAGGCTGACTCCTGCCGTTCAGCCGCAGCCTGACCTTTAAACTACAACCTGCTGCTCTGAGGACGCTGTTTTACAGATAAGTGCACGGCAGCACTCTGAGCCAACAACCCCAAAACTGCATCTTATGTTATAAAAAAAATGCGCCTTTTATCCAGAATGAAGCTCTTTCAAAGCTTTTACTTCCGTTTCATCCCGCTGCAGCATGCGTGCATGGGAAATTCGAAGTATGACACTTGATCTGAAATCTATCAGCCATGTAACCAAAACAAAGCGAACCTTAGATAGGAGCCGATGTGGACACGGGGATGTTCACAGGACAAAGACTAAACTTACTCTGTTCTTTATCATGCGTACACGAGCAGTGTGCAGTGTCAGGCCTTTGGTATGACTGTGGTTATTACATATATACAGTATAAGAAGCAAAAGATAATTTTTTTTTTCGTTTTTAAAAAATACATAAAATGCATTACTTATTTACATTCCAGATGAAAAAAATTCAAGTGGATATTGATTGATTTGATTGTGACACATTTTGATTTTGTGTGTAGTGGGAAATCAGTGTGACTTTTTTGGGTCTGGAAACACGCTCCCGCGGCTGAAAGCCTTTTCTGTAATACAGTCACACTTTGATTCTAGCTCAGAGGAGACCGGGAGAGAGAGCAAAACAGGACCATGTGCTGTTATTATTTTCACATTTCTTTCTATATTTCTACTTCCAAGTGGCAGTGAAAGCAACGAGTCAAAAGGGATTGCCACAAAACGAAATGTCCATTTGAAATTAAAAGCCGTTGAAAAGCACCGTGAAGGCAGCACTTACAGGTGAATAGAAGCGTCAATCAGGCTGCAGATGGAAGCTGAAGAAGACTCACAAAGCTGCAATAGCAGATGCATATATCAGAGCCCTGATCTTTAAAACCTGCTTAAACAGGGTAAATAAAAACAGACAAACTTGTTAATGCTTCCCTCCAAGAGGTGATAAATATATGGTAAGGCTGAATAATTACATTATCAGATAGATAGATAGATAGATAGATAGATAGATAGATAGATAGATAGATAGATAGATAGATAGATAGATAGATAGATAGATAGATAGATAGATAGATAGATAGATAGATAGATAGATAGATAGATAGATAGATAGATAGATAGATAGATAGATAGAGGAAGTTTGGAGGATGGGTCAGCTTCAGCCGTTTATTGCATTCCTCAAACTGTCCATGTGTTGTTTTTGTCCTGGTTAAGGAAACCACTTGGTCAGCAGCAATTTGTGTGGTTTCAAACAGCGTTTTTGGGTGTGGTGTGTGTTAAAGTAGCCACATGAAGGTAAGAAACCCACTGTAGTGTAATAACAAGGTCATCAGTGTTCAGTTCTTGTGGCATATCAGTGTATATTACTGTCATTGCACTGTATATACCGTTACTCTACCATAACTGTATAACTGTATAAATCATAAAATGAAAAATTACTGTAAACAGCATTGCATAAGTGATGTGAATTCAAAGGAAAATGCATAAACAAACCTAAAAAACACACATAGTACCAGCATTAACAAATGAATATTATGGAATGTGTGTGTGTGTGTGTGTGTGTGTGTGTGTGTGTGTGATTGAATTTACTTGCATTTTATTTGAAAGGAAACTGAAAACTAGATTAACAGACCTTCAAATTCATCAACTCACAGACACACACACACACACACACACACACACACACACACACACACACACACACACACACACACACACACACACACACATAGTTACATATGTACATGTCAGATCTGTCATGTAGAGTCTGGTTCCTTTTGTTGGATCAGGGATCCACTATGGGACCCATGTGTTTCTAAGAACCACTTGCTAGGTTCAAGGAGGCAGCCCACCCTTCCTCCGTTCATCATTCCCACCACCACCCGATGCAAACCATCTTTTGCTCAAAGCAAACCACAAAGTGCCCGTAACCTGACCACAAATTTAATATCTGCCTCACACATGAAAGGACGCGAATCACAAAATGTCATTTTGTTCAGCACTCATTTTCTTCGCACATGAGCTTCAAGTAAGTTGCACACACAATAATCCTTTCACAAAAAGCCGGCCTACTAGAAAAAAAAAGTGATGAATGATGCTTCCCGACAATCCAGTCTCCAGACAAATCTGTAATTCACTTTTTGCTTTGTGTTGCATAAATTGAAATCATGTAAAAAATTTTGTCAAACAACGTCACAAATATGAGTTGAAACCATTAAATGGATCCCAACAACCCTGCAGTGCAGAGAGTGCAGTGCATGCAGAGTTTTATACAAAACTGCTCAGACAAAATACCATGTCATTTACATCCCAGCCAAATCCATCCATTCATCCGTCCACTTATCCCAGCTGTCACTGGGCAAAGAGCAGCGGGATGCACAGTGAACAGATCAGCTGTCATTGCAAGGCTAACAGACCATCATTTAGTCTCACATTAATAATTATGCACAACCTAACCTAACCATGTGTGATACACTATCACGTATAAAAAGTGTGATGAGTACATAATTCAATCTAAAAAACCCCAAAATGATTCATAGATAAATATGATGGAAATTTTAATACAGTGTATGATAACGATTAAAAATACAGCCAGGGTTAAGTCCATCTGCATGGGTTTTAAAATGCCTGACTGTGGTGACTCCTAGTGGTAGTGTGACAGTATGATGACTTAGATTTGTAAAAGCAGAGTTAGCCCTTCATTATTCAGCCTGGTGTAATTTCTAAACATTTATGTCATGTTTCTGAATGCATGGTGTTATTTTCAGTGCGGAGTAAATAGATTCAAAAAGTTTTTAAAGGAAAGGAGAGTAAGCAGTGAGTATCTTTGGAGTATTTTAAAAGCATATAGACATAAATTTCGTTGTAATTAGTTATTTTAAGTAGTAACAAATACCTTCAAGATCTTTTATAGGAAAACAATAATATTTTCCTTTCTTAAATTATAATGAAACAGGAGTGGGCTGTATCTCCCCTTCCTAGACTGTAATTACTCATCACTCTTGTAGGCTATATCACAGAGTAGCCCAACCTCCCTAATTACACTGTAGTTAAACATTAAACACTATTTGGGGTGCAGACAGTAACACACTTGAGTTGTGTGGTGGCAAGCTTGCAAAAGGAGGTGCTTTGCTGTCACATTCACAGGCCTGGTCACAGCTGTTTTATGAAGTGTTAGCATAACTTATAAATATCTGGACAGACTCTGGCCTTTACCACTTGAATGTACAAATTTCAGGAAAGCCACTCTCAATTGTGTTGTGGGGTCAGTGTGCCTGAAAATACTCACCACAGATATAAAAACAAGAGGTACGGTATAAAAAGTACTCCCATTAAAGATGTCCACACAGTGGAAATTTAAATGTTTAACTTGTTTTTCTAGTCATTTTT